GCTTCACTTCTATCGATTGCGTTTTGAAGTTTAAGTTTCAACTTCTATCGATTGCCCCCCACAACGTCCCACAGCACATCCCCACTGTGTATTAGGAACATCTTCTGATGATAATACCAAAAATGATGATGTCATCATTGGGAGATATTCCCAATACACGACAAGGATGTGCTGTGGGACGTTGTGGGGGGCAACCTTGTGGGGGGCTGATTTGAACTCCTCTCATTTCTATGAAAGGATGAGCATTTTTCTTCTATTTTAATTTCTTTCTTGTTCTAGATTTTTTGAGGTTTTTTGTATTGTTAACAAGTGAGTTTGTACTTTTTGAGGCTTTTCTGTGTTGTTCATTGGCAATGGTTGTTTCTGTCTTTGTTTTGGATTTTAGATTTAGGGTTTTCTCTATAAAATCGGTTAAATCAAACCAAGTCGAATATTCAACATTTTAATCAAAAGAAAATTCGATTGGGACTTTTGCATATCCGGCGGATCTCGAATCGAATTCGAATCACTTATTTTGTAATTGGAACCGAATTTGAACATGGCTTGATTCAATTCGAATTCACTCCATTTACAGGCCTACCTCCAACTCCCAAAATTAGAAAAAAAAGTATTTATTCTTTAATAAACCCAATTCTTCTCGTCCCATTTTTGTCGAAACCCTACATGTACTCCCTATTTCATTTTCCTATTTAACTTTCCCCCCCTCCCTCCCCCCCACCCACCACCCACCCACAAAGAAATCTACTGCATAAAGCCATTAATATTTTATTATTCAGGGTATATCTATGATGTTGGAGAGACAAGATACTAAAAGAGCTTTGACCAATCAAACCCTCACTCCCCAATGAATTTTGAAGAATATTACCTAACTAGTCACCAATTTTGTGATATCAAGTGTCAATTAGTTATAATAATTTTTTCCAATTTCTTCCTGGTATCATAGTTGAAACCTATTATTTATTTAAGTTCAATTATTAAATTAATAATCTCATAAATATATAGTTAACCTAAAAAAATTACTAGATGCATGAGAATACAGATCATCCAATACATAAATAAAAAACTATTATATTTTAATTACAAAATTAATTATTTCCTATTTTATTATTTTTACTACTTAATAATTTATCGTGACTTATAATCTTAAGTTGAAAAAAAATATGACATATCCATTACATCTTCAATGACACATATATCATATGCATATCCATAACTTTGAAGTCTAAGTAAGAGGATCACAATTAATGAGGTATAAAAGGGACAAATAATTGGATTTAATGGGTTGAATGGCACAATTAATAAGCATTTAAATTTGAATTTCAAAAAATATGATTGTATTGATATGCAACACCCTATTTATTAGTTGATACCAATTGATAGAAATTGGCATAGGAGGAATGGTGTTAATTTTGGACTATTCCACCTGTGCCTTGTGTCCGTTGCCTTGGATACAGATAACGAGATTCCTTGGTTCCATGGTTTTTAAAATCGGATCGGACCGGACGGTTGGATTGGAAAAATAGGGAATTGGTTAGGTGATCGGTTCCATTTTACCCCAGAACCGTTATTTCATAAAAAAATGTTGATTTGGTCAGCAAACCACTGGTCTGAGAGGCCAAACTGTTCAATAGTTTTGGCTGTTTTTTATTTTTTTGTTTTATTTCTTTTGTTAGAATGGGCTGCCCGTTTGATTCAAATGGTCAAACTGTTCGACTAAGGAACCGAACTCCTGACCGGTTCTGATGAATGGTGATTTGGCCCGACCTAGCGAGAAGGGGACACGTGGACACAACTTGATTAAGGGATGACAACTCAGCTTGGCAAGCCTAGTTCGCAACATTTGAGCTCGGGTATTCAGCCACCTCAGCCCAAAACTCACCTCGGTGACGAGACACTTCGTTATCCAATCCAGTTTGGAACTAAAGAATCAAAATATCAGCTCGGGGCTAATAACCCGAATTGCCACGTAACTGACTCCAGAGGTCTCTCCAATAGATCCTGAATCTCTCGAGATCACGATGAGCTAACAGACCCCGACTTTTTCGAGATCACGATAAGGACTCATCCCAACTCCGCCAAAGTTGGAAGTGAAACGATAAGCCTTATCTACGTAGTGCTCCTTCAGAAGCGGAATGAACCCTATCTCCACACCCCGGAGATCCTGGAGCTCTTTCGTGAGATCCATGATTACTCCAGTATATAAAGGCGGGAACCTCAAAGCAAAGGTATGCGTGATTACTCTAATCGAGCTCTCAAGCTCTCAAATTCTCAAGCATTCAGCTCGCATTACAGTACACTAACTTAAGCATCAGAGCGACCTCACCAGGTTAGCCACCCCGGGTCCTCTGATCCACTGTCTTGCAAATAGATCCAGCTCACTGCTCGATTGGAAGCCAGATTGCCCTCCAGTTGGGAGTAGTCAGATTGCGCAACAAAAATTGGCGCCGTCTGTGGGAAATGATTGAAAGGTCATCCCCATTCTTTGCAGTTACTACCAACCTTGATTTCTACGCCAATGGCATCTTCCAGTCATACTGGGAAAAGTAACGAGATGAATGTCTCCGGGGGGCAACCCCAACCCCCTATGGTGTGCATCGGCCATTTCACCACCCCACTTACTATGTCTAGAGTTCCAACACTGACCGCACCACCAAACACCACATAGGTGAGCGCCCCACTTCCCCTAGTGGTAGGCACAACTTTTTCTGAGCCTTCTATGGTTTCCCCTGGAGTCAGGCAGTCTCAGTTCAATGACCTGGTTTAGTGCGTTCGGGCTATCTAGATCCAGATGCAGCAGGTCCAACAGTTTCAATAATACCAGCAGTATCAACATCAGTTCCCTCCACTGTCGCAAAACTAGCAGCCAGTTCCACCTCGGCACCCAGGGGCCCATCAGAATCAAAACCGGCCTAGGACTAACTAGAACATCAGCTGATCTCCCCACCGGGGCAAAGAGACCTCACAAGTACTGATTCCTCTCAAGAGTCAGGTCTCGCCCCGTGGGAGAAGAGATGGTCATCTTACTCCACCGGCTTCGCAAGGGAACCTCGGAAACAGGTCCGGGGATACTCAGCCTAACTGGACCAATCATCTTCGGCATTCACAGTAAGAAAATGACGGTTCACTACTAGGTAACCAGTTCGGGGTTCGAGGTGCGAACTCGAGGCAGGGCCTCTCCGTCCCTCATGATAGTCAGCCCTAGAATCTCACAAGGAACGCCGAGCTAGTGAAGAAACAACAACAGAGACGTCGTAAGGCACGCCGTACCTCGGCTCAGAACAACCAGCTAAGAAAGCCAAGCCAGTGAGAAGGGCAAACTAAAAGTAAGGAAGAAGCAAGCTCGGTGGCTACAAAGGCCGCTCCTCCACTACTTTGCAGGTCGTCTCCCCTGTCTCCCGAGCTCTTGGCAACTCCAATGCCTAAAGACTTCAAGATGCCTCCCTTAGACAAGTATGATGGGTCCTTTGATCCTAATGACCATGTGGACTCTTTCCAGTCCTAGATGCACCTACCTGGGGCTGACGAGTCTTGCATGTGTGTAGCCTTCTCCACTACCTTTAAACRGGTAGTTCAAACCTAGTATCAGAACCTCACGCTGGGATCGATCAAAAGCTGGTCGTAGTTCACAGACTTTTACCTCACACTTCATCACTAGYAAGAAGTGCCCAAAGTCACAGGAAAGCCTTCTCATCGTAGTCCAGAGGGAAGGAGAATCAATCAGAAGCTATATTAAGCGCTTCAATGACACCTGCCTATAGATACCAGACCTCGACCCAGCGGTAAGATTCACTACAGCGAAGAAAGGAATAACCCACAAGGAGTTTAAATGGCATGTGGTGGCCAACAAACCAAAGGACATCACATAATTCCTTAAGCTAGCCGATCAGTTCACCGGTACCGAAGAGGAAATCAATCAGAAGGCTGACAACCCACCAACAGAAAAGAGGAAAAGAGACAATCAAGAAACAAGTAATGGCGGACAAAAAAGAAGGAAGAGCAAGTCCCCGAGCAGGGGAAGAAACAAATCCAAAAGCCGGTCTCCCTCGTGAACTTGCAAATCACGTCGGCGCTCCAGAACCCCACTTGTCGAAAGAATGAATTACACACCATTGAACGCTAAGCGAGGAGAAATCCTAATGGCCATTAAGGACTCCTCCTTCGTCAAATGGCCTCCTAGGTTAATGGGAGATCCTACAACAAGAAACCGAAACGTCTATTGTCATTTCCATAGAGACCACGGGCACGACACAGAGAATTGTAGGAACCTCCGCAATGAGATCAAGGAGATTATCCACCGCAGATACCTAAAGAATTTCATACAACGAGAAGAGAGAGGCCAAGCAGATCGGCAAATAGATCGACAGGGGACCAGAGAAGGAATGCCCCCGAGATAAGTAGGCAGAACGAGCAACCGCCGCGATAGTTGCCCGAGGAAAGACTAATCCGCGGGGTAATTAACATGATTACTGGAGAGTCCATCATCACAGGGTGTACATCATCAGCCAGAAGGACCTCAGTTCGTGAGCTAGATAATGAAGAGGAAAACCCGCCAAAGTGACCTCGGCTTGAAGAACCAATATACTTCACAGAGGACGATGCACGCGGGATCTAGTACCCTCATGGCGATGCCCTAGTAGTAAAAATGAGAATCAACAACTTCGAAGTCAAGCGCATCTTGGTGGAATTAGGTAGCTCGGCGGATATATTATTCAAGGAGACTTTTGACAAGCTACATCTACAGCAGAGCAATCTAAAACCGACAGACGCTCCTCTAGTAGGCTTCAGTGGCGAAGAGGTCAGACCTCTTGGATGAATCATGGTACTTGTAGAGGCCGACACGTGGTCAAATATCGCGAGGTTTGAGTACACATTCCGGTAGGGGTGTCAATGGACCGGTTTCAGGTTGGACACCGTTCGAATCTGAAGTAATATGGACGGATCGGACGGTCCTAAAAAATGATATGGACGTGGACCAGTCCGATCATAAATCGTCCATGGACCGAAAGTAGACAAAGCCACTAGTTCGAATGGTCCGTTCATTTTCGTGAGTGTCAAGAATAGAAGCTTTCGAAGAGTCGAAGCTTGAAGGTTAGGGTTCAGCGCCTCTGCACCTCCATCGCTCCATCCTCAGTCTCACCGGCAGATGGCGGTATTTCGTTTGAAACTTTGGACGAACTCCGGCCGTAGTGCCCTTTCTCCGATGATCTTCCTTTTGCCCTCTCACTTTCTCCAACAATAGAGCTTCTTCTTCTCTCAGCGCCTCCTCACCTTCTCTAGTGACAGCAGTACAACACTCTCTCTTATCCCAATGCCCTCTCACTTTCTCCAGCGGCAACAACACTCCCTCTTCACTCAAGAAATCATATTTTGGTGATTTTTTTCTCTTGCATCTTGCTCTCAAGTGATAGTCTCCTCTGACCTCTACGATTTGTTCATTGAGGTATCCTTTGTCATTAGAACCTAGCACAGAGTTTGATAGATACTCTCCTAATTTTAATTGTAGACAACAATACATGGTTCTGTTTGAATATTTGTTTGCTATAGTCTGAATATTTCTTGGAATATCTTGAATATTTATGTTTGAATATTCAATGGTTCTGTTTGGATATTTCTTGGAATGCCAATGGTTTTGTAAATATTTATGTATCTTATAAATTCTAATAGACTTGATATATTTTTAAGTTCAATTTGGTTTTAGGTTTCTTTTTATCGGTATCATAGTTGAACAATCTAATAAGACAGTGGATTGGACTAGTCCAATCCGGTCTAAGTTGAACAGTCCAATAAGACAATGGATTGGACCAGTCCAATCCGGTCCAAGTTGAACAGTCCGGTAAGACAGTGGATTGGACTAGTCCAATCCGGTCCAGGTTGATTAGTCCAGTAGGACAATAGATTGGACCAATCTAATCTGGTCCAGTTTACTAGGCAATATCATCCTCATCGTAGCACTCGTCATCTTCATCATCACTGTCATCAGTATCTTCATAATCTGCACCACACTAACCCACCTACTTTATATTTTAACCTTAGGTACTCGTTAAACTATGAGCCCTTTAATCATCTCTTGCAACTTCAACCTGTCACAGTGTCACTTACTAACATTCCCAAGATCCAGAGTTGTTTGTCTATGCTTTGCTGCCAACAAACAATGAAATTCCCTTGATTTACTCTTGTATTAAATATGCTATACAGAGAGAGATATATATTACAAACCCAAGAAAGAAAACAATGAGATTTATTGGATTGGTAATTAGGATGCTCAACACTCTTTATTTTTTTTTTACAATTACATTTGACAGTCTAAAAGGGTAACTTAAAAATTAAGTTC